GGGAGCAGGCGGGAGGGCAGCGAAGAGAAGCCCTGCACAGACCTACCGTCACCGCCACCTGCCTCGGGTACCTTCACAGAACCCAGGCAGCCGGAGCTTCTGCCCAGGTCACACCCACCAGGAGCAGGATTTAAGGCTCCTGCCGTGCCCACAAGGCCATGTTTAGCCACACTTGAACCAGACTTCTAAAGGGGAAGCAGCTTGTTCCCTGGGAATCAAGCTCCTCCTACATCACCAGCAGAAGCTCCTTCTAGAAGCACCGGGATGAGGGTGAGGCTGGCAAGGCACCGTGGCTGCAGAACTGAAGGAGGCATTTTCCACTCCCGGGTGGTCTGTGCCTGCCTGCCTCACTCTACTCCCCGCCTCACTCTACTCCCTGCCCTGCTTCTAGAACTTTCACTTTCTGCGAGGTATTTTGTTTTAGTACGAGAGGCCACTCTCTCACGAGAGTCCTGCCTTCATAAACGACGCTTCATAAGTTACTGAACTGGAAGGAAATATTCTAGATTTCAAAGAAACCAAACCTGTAACAGAATTTGACTAGGTTATGGCCTTTTCTTGTTATTCCTCCAACAAATAATTCTTTATAGTCCACTCGAATCTGAATTATTTAGACAGGGAACAAACCATTTCTTAAGGTTGTAAATATCTCCTCAGATACACTTGCTTTCGATTCATATCAGAGAGGAAAGAAATTATTCAAGGCCCTTTGGCCCAGCCCTATGTTGGGCACCAATCTGCTATAAACACACTCTTAATAGTAGTCACATGGATTTATATACAGATAGCAAGAGGGCAGAGCAAAAACATTTACTCAAGAAAGCTGAAGAGGGAATGGAGCCACAGTTTATGCCAGTCAAAAACAAGCAGAGGAGTGTTTTGTGGTAGAGAATGCTACTAAGCTGGAGCCCGAAGAACCAGACTCAAATCACCAAATTTTCTCATCGAGAGGGGACGCAACTCAGTTCTTGTTTTCTGTTTGCCCTGACTCTTAGCATACTCATGTCAAAACTCCCTGGACCAAATTGATAAGTATTTAATCTGAAACTAAATATGCTAAGTTTTAAGCTAAAACTGAATATGGATGGAAAAACATAATCTCCCAAGATTATAAATTGCTATTTCCTGCATGCAGTCAATAGTTTAGCAAATATTTACCAAGTGCCTACTTTACACAAGGCACTGTGCCGTGGAGAATGTTCAAATAAATGGGCAATTGCTGTCTTAAAATATGGTAGACTGTCTTACTCAATAAGGACATACATAACCAAACATCACATCACACACATTACCAAAATAAAATGGAGAAGTTCCACAGGAGAGCTACAAAGACCTGCAGCAGAAGTATAGTTTTCCAGCTTGGAATCCTGCACTCAGTTTAAAGAGGTTAATTTATTTCCCTTTAGTCTCCTCATCTATAAAAGGAGGATAATAATAGTACCTCTTCATAAAGTTGTGGAGAGGATTAAATGTGATAATAGACAAAAGCAGTTTAAATGAATGCCTAGTACCTAAGTGCGTGAGTGTGAATGCTAAGTTCCTTCAATCATGTCCAATTCTGTGCAACACCAAGGGATGCAGCCTACATGGTTCTCTGTCCATGGGATCTCCCAGGCAAGCATAATGGAGTGGGCTGCCAGGCCCTCCTTCGGGGGAATCTTCCCGACAGGGATCGAACATCTCTTACATCTCCTGCACTGGCAGGCAGGTTCTTTACCACTAGCGCCATCTGGGAAGCCCCAAGTACATAAGTAATACCCAGTAAATGTTAGTCAAAAAGTGAAGTCGCTCAGTCGCGTCCGACTCTTTGCAACCCCATGGACTGCAGCCTGGCAGGCTCCTCTGTCCATGGGATTTTCCAGGTCAGAGTCCTGGAGTGGGTTGCCATTTCCTTCTCCAGAGTGTTAGTTATCATTGCTATTATTATGGAAGTTCATAGGATTAAGCAGTTGATTTGACTTCAGAGAAGGAAGAAAAATTTCAGAGAAGGAATGGACACTGAGAGATGAAGTAGGGCAGGAGAAAGAAAGAGGAAGCAGAAGAGAGAGGGACAAGAAGGAAAGAAATCTTTAAAAAAAAAAACTGTTTTTGGCTGTACTGCATGGCATATGGGATCTTAATTTCTCAACCAGGATTGAACCCCCCTCCCCAGCCCCAGCCTGCATTAGAAGCATGGAGTCTTAACCACCAGACTGCCAGGAGAAGTCCCAAGAAATACCCTTGATACAGGAAGTAGTTCAATTTGGCTGGAGTAGAAAGTTCCTTAATGAAATGGTGGCGTGACATGCAGTTCAGAGCACATTGTACAAACAATGTAAATCACTTAACTTTTTTCTACTAATTCTCATCATCCCCAGTCATGTCCTAGAATATCAATACAGTTAAAAAGTAGATCAAATATTATTATTAACATAGATATGTAGTGAGCATTAATCGTAACTGGGTAGATTAACCCAAGCATCAGAGTCCAAAAATCATATGGGCTTTCCCTGACCCTTTCTGGAAGGAATCCACCAAGTCTGAAAGAGTACTAACTCTTAAGTCTAAGAATCAGAAAACAAGTTTCAAGCCAGGTTAAAGACACTCCAGGCCTCAACTTCCTCTTAATAAAATGTATGCCACTATTAGTTCAGGATGGATGGACAGAAGAAATACTAAAATGGTGGGAAGGCCTTTCTAGGAAGGGAAAAAACTTGCCAGCCTCCTTGGGTTGATAGGAGACACAAATGCAACAATGGATGTGAAAGCATGTTACATACCTGATAAGCATTACATAAAACACAAGGTATTTTTCCTGCAGATCACACAGAAAGGAAAGAACTGCAGATGAGACGCTGGTGGTATGTGGTGAAAAGAATCGGGCTTCGTAGTCAGGACTTCTTAGATCTGAACCTTGTCAGATCCTGTCTCTGTGGCCCATGAACTGTGACGCTGCTTTTGTGGTCTTGCTAGGATACTGTCAGACAGGCAGCGTGACTCCTGTAAGGGTGTTTCCCCTCACTGCTACAGCCACTTAGAAGCACGTGCAGGATCCAATTACATTTCAGTTGTAATTCAGTTGAAACTTCTCAGTTTCATCTTGTTTTTTTCAAACCTTACTTCCCGTTTTGGGGTCATTCTGATTTCCTTTTTTTTTAAGTCCCTCAGATCCTCCCTTTCTGCCACCTTTCCCCTTTTTTTTTTGAATAAATGAGGCATAGCCTAAAAATTAATAATTTTACCTGTTCCATCAGGCCCCACCCCCTGTGATCCCTAAACAGAATCTCCTGGACTTCTCTGCCTGTCCTGCTCTTTGGAAGTGCTCAACAGATGGTTATTAAATTAATATTGAAAAGTTCATGATTTAACTGGCAAATATCAGAAACATTCAAATGTTTTTAGCCAAACCTAGGCCCAATAAAAGCTAAACTTTATTATAGGTTTGCAGGACATTTTTCATAACAGTAATATTTTTAACAGGTTGAACAAATTCTAATTTTCTACATTTATCTGCATGTAATATATCATTTAGTCCTCACTGCATTCTTGTGAAATTGGTTTGGCAAGTATTATTTCTATTTTACATGAGGAAAGCAGGCCCACGTTGTTTGTCATTCCATGGTGTGGCAAAGCCACATTAGAACCAGGCCTTCCCTTCTGACCCAATGCACCTTCCATTCTGGCACACTGCCTCTGGGGAATTTTGCAAATGGGCTTCCACTTACATTTTTTAAACAATATGTAACTGATTGATAATGGGAACGTCTGCCGAAAAATCAAATATTAATATAACTAACATATCCATTAATCTATGTTTAAAATGTAGGCTTCATCAAATACTTAAAAAAAAAAAAATGGATCCATTGTGGAGGGCACTGTATTCCTATCCAACCTCAAATCAAATTAGTTCTCCACAGGACCTATACTCCCTGGAGAAGGAAATGGCCAGCACTCCAGTATTCTCGCCTGGAGAATCCCATGGACAGAGGAGCCTGGCAGGCTGCAGTCTATGGGGTTGCAAGAGTCAGAGATGACTTAGCGACTAAACCAACCAACGAACCAGGACCTATACTCAAATATGATTATAAACGGAGTCTCTATGTGGAGGGCAAAGAAAAGAAAGCAATGTCACAGAACGTGCAATGTAGTCTTTACTCCAGGTACTCTAAAGAGCTATAGATGGCAGTGGCCCCCTCTGCCTCCTGCTCCCCCCATGACACTCAGTCCAAGGGACGCTTCTGATTACCACGTGTCAAAAGCCCACGTTATTTACTCTTATTTCAGATACAGGTTAAATATGGTTAAGAAAATCCGTTGGCTTTTACGATCCCTGGGTCTTGATGATAAGCATTAACACCTTGCTAATACTTTTGCTTTCCACGAGTAAGTCAACGAAGAAAAAGGAAGTAGTTAATCTCTTAAAAAGTAGCTTATCTTTGATCAGCGCTATCAGTAATTACAGGATCACTAGTACAACCTTTGAGAAACAGACGGTTAAGTATAAAAGTGTCCAAAGGGCATTTCGGGCTTGGCCGACCCAACCACAAGCGCGAAGGCCAGGCGGGACGGAGCTGGGGGTGTTCAGTGACCAGTGTGCAAAGTCACCGACTGCTTGTCCACACCCACCCCCCAACTTGGCGCAGAATGGGGCGGCGGCCAGACAGGCAGGCCCCTAGCTCGCAGTGGCCGAAACAGCCCGTCCGCCGCCCCGGGGGTGGACGGGACTGGGCAGTGACCTTGAGAGCCCCTCTGCCGTCCGGAGGAGGCTCGGGGTACACACGGGACTGCGTAGCGGCGTGACAGCCTCCAGGCAGAGCGGAGAAGGCTCGCGGCGGCCGCGGCGCGGAGGCAGAGACGGTGTCCACCCCTCCGCGGTCCCGGGCGGCTCTGCGGTGCGCGCGGGTTGGGGGCGGCGGGCGCGGGCGCCCCGGGAGCCTCCAGGGCCGCACCTGCGCCGGGGCTCGGCTCAAGGTGGGCAGCAGTTGGGGGCCCGCGGGCGGCGGACGGGCGGCGGGCCCTACCTCCTCGGTGACCGTGGGGCAGTAGGAGATGAGCACGAGCGTGGTGAGCATGTTGATGGCGAGGCCCAGGAGGGTGATGGAGTTGGGGGCCATCCACAGCGGGATCCACTGGAGCAGCCAGGTCCAGTAGAGCTGCAGCGGCGGCTCGAGCAGCGAGACGCCCGCCGCGCTGTAGCGGTGCTCCTCCAGCCGCCGCAGCTGCGCCGCGCTCAGCGGCTCGGTCAGCGCCTTCAGCCAGCGCGGCGCCGGCCTGGCCCCGGCGCCCGCCGCCATGGCCGCCTGCGGGCCCCGCAGCTGCGAGCGAGGGCAGCCCGCGCGGGGCTCCAGGGCGGGGACAGGTGGAGGGAGGGGCTCGCGGGCCCGGGCCTGCGCCGGCCGGGTGGAACTCGCCGGTCCGGCCCGCGGCCGAGGTCGAGGTCAGGCCGGGCCGCCCCTGGTCCCGGGGGCCCCCGCCCCTAGAGCCGCCGGCCGCAGGCGGGGCGGGGCCTGGGGTGCGCGGGGAGGGGGCGGGGCCGCCCCGCGAGGGGTCCGGCCGGCGCGACCGGTCCGCCCAGGCCCCCGGGTCACCGCGGGGGTTCCACCGACCGTCACTTTCTAATTGGCGCACAAAGGGCCCAGACTCCCGCAAGATCCCGATGCACCTGCCTCTAAGGTCCGATTCTTCTCCCGGGACTGCTGGTGACGCTCCCTGGAGGGAAGTCTCGCCCGCGGGACAGTTAGTAGCGGGTTCCTCTGACTCTTGGGCTATGCATAGTTCGGTTCTCCTCTTTGGCGAACGCCCTCGTCTTCAGCCACACTGAAGGACGCCGCTGCCTGCAGACCCGGCGTCGGCGGGATACTGTGTGAAAACATGATTTTTGCCCATCTTGGGTCACCGGTTTGAGGGCCCCATCCGTTGGCCCATAGAGAGATCCTGTTTGATAAACGTACGGGCATAGGTCTTCCTTCCAGCCCCCAGGGCTGGGGCCTTGGCCGTGTATTAGCCCTAGAGAACCCTCACTTTCCGGTTCAGGGATCAAGGTTCAGGGTTCAGATTCCAAGGTATTGGAACTACCAATCAGGATTTAGAAACACCGTCTAACAAGGGGACTGAACGGTTGGAACCCAAATGCCTATTTTTCAGAGCAGCCCATACCGATAACTTTTTTTTTTTTTTACACACACCATTCCCCCCAAAGACAAGAATCCAGGTGGCACCTTCCATGCCCACCACACAATGGCAGTTCACCAGCCCCTTACCTCACAATGCACTCTTTAGACCAGGGGACGGCCTGTCATAAACATATCATTTTGCACAACCAGAGACGAGCCTGCCACTTGCCTTTTCTTCACCTCAGGGTTCTTATCGGTAGGCACTTCTCTAAGACACTGAACTAACTCAGAAGCTGCTTAGTTACAGTCGTGTTGGGCAGTGGTTATCAGCGGGTACAGTTTGTCCAGCAGATGCCACCACACACCTTGGAGATGCGCTAACAAATTACTACCCAGCCCACGAGCTGTTCCCATACAGCTTATAAACTACAGATGGTTTTTAGACTTTAAATGATTAAAAAAAGAATTTTTTTCTGTGATGCAAAATAACATGAAATTCATATTTCAGTGCCACTAATAAAGCCATATTTATGCCTTATATACTATTTATGACTGCTTTCATGCTCCAAGGGCAAATTTCAGTGGTTGTGACAGAGACCATATAGCCTGAAAAGACTACAATATTGACTGCCTAGCATTTTACTGAAAAAAATTTGGCAATCCCTTCTTTAGAAGAATAAGAGGGTGTCTGTAGACAAAATCATGCATTGAATATCCATTTCCTAGTCTCTTATGTGAAAAATGATACAAATGCAGGAAAGGAATCAGAATGATAGAGATTCATTCTTAACTTTGTTGGGGTTTTTGTACAGTAAATTTAGAGATACCTATCTTTTAACTTGGCAGGGTCACAAATGAGTCAAGGAAAAATCCTTTTCCAGTTTAATAAGTTTAACTATGTTACAGATAATTTGAACTATAGATCAAAAAACATCATAAAGAGAATGAAAGGGCAAGCTGGGAAAAGGTATTTCCTTCAAATAAAATCCATATTGAAGAGTACCCAGATCATATGAAGAACTTCCTGGTGGTCCAGTGGTTGGGACTCTGTGCCTTCAATGCAGATGGCTCAAGTTTGATCCCTGGTCATGGAACTAAGATCCCACATGCTGTGCAGTGCAGCCAAAAGCTATTTTAAAAAATAAATAAACACATTTACTATACCCCACAGTTCTTTCTTTAAAAAAAAAAAAAAGGAATTATCTTACTAAATTTACTAAAATCAATGATGCATTCTCTTGCCAGGAAGACTTTGGTAAAGTCCAGCCTCCCTAGCTTGGCATTCAAAAGCCCAATCTCCCTTTCCAGTCTTATTTCCCAAGTGTCTCTTCCCTCACTCCTCTCCCTAATCTGATGTTCCAGCTTCATGGGTCCATTAGGTATTCCCAAGTACACCCAGCACTTCCTCATGACCCACTTTGCTTCCTGGGCTTGGGGAGTACCCTCCATCTCTCATCACCCCCAAAACACTGCTCATTAGGCAAGGCTCTGCTTAAATTCTGCCTTCTCTGAAATGGCCTCTCATATTCTTCCAGTTTGATCTCTCCTGCTTCTGCAGAGTCCTTTATACCTTGTAATTCAGTCTGCCTTGAGGCACTTGTTTGTGTACTGATCTTCTTGACCAGCTTGGAGTACAAGGACTGTATCCCTGCACTGTGTTCCTCAGTCCTTGGTACCGAGTAGATATCCATACATTTAAAACCTTTTTGTTTTGAAATAATAGAGTTGCAAAAATTGTACAGAGAGATTCCTTGTACTCTGCAGCCAGCCTTTCCCAATAGTAATGTCTTACATTATCCTCAGTACAAGAGATATCCGTAAGTTTTTATTTGGTGGTTTATCTTGGTTTAACTACCAGTTCTTTTCGTGTAACTTGCAATCATATTTCAAATCTTCTTCCTCAGCATCTAGATCAACTTTCCACAAAATGTTCTGGTCTCATGTAGCCAGATTAAGTGTAAAATAACTGCTTCAAAAAGCCCCTAAATTTCATTGGTTTGGAAAGGCACATGTTGCAATCAAAAAATCACCTGGCTAGATTTTCAGTGTAGCAGAATTTTATCTTTCAGGGAGTCAAGCTATGTGTGTAAGTGTTTAGAGCTTTGGACCCACAGGCTGGAGTATTTATGAAAATTAGTATAGTTCTGTGGTGTAAATCCTTGCCTTTTCTCATTTACGTGCTCTGGTTTAATTTGTTTTTATAGTTCTGTACTTTGTGACTCTAAAGCCCAACTTTTATAGAACCATGGTACCTTACAAAATACATGAGTGGACATAAAAGTGTTCAATAATAGATTGACAAAAACATTTGCTCTCTTCTCTAGAAATGCTTAATTTCTGGATCAAGATCAGAAAAGCAGATTTCACAATAGAATCCCTGAGATGTTGTAATTGTGTTTTTTTATCTGATATTTCAAAAGCAATTTATGGTTGGAAACTGATTTTCCTCAGAGACACAGTTCTTAGCGGTCTGTCCTATTTATATCCTTTAACTGTTTTTTTATTTATTATTGTTTTCTGAGTTCTCATCCCACTGCTTTAAAATGTTTTCCATGGTATGATTTGAGGAGCATTGGAGCGAATCTCCTTCCTCAAAAATTCCTTCTTCAGCAATCTATGGTAAAAGCCGCACAATGAGTTAGTTATTCCTGTCTTTGGATTGGGGCTTTTAGGATAAGCAGGTAGGTCAGATTTCCATGTTAGGTTAGGTCGTTATCAGAAACACCTTAGGAGCAATGCTTTTATCAGAAAGCCTTTCCTCTGAGACAGCTGAGAGAGAATGACTCCAAATAAATAGCTATGCCAGGAACTTGTGAGAGACAGCTGGAGCTGCCTGCTCCAGCGCAGGACGAGCACACGAATCACCTGGCGACCCTGTGATGAGGCAGCTTCTAAGTTAGCGAATCTGGAGAGAGAGTGCAGGCAAGGTTTTCAGTCCTGAGGAGCTCCCAGGTAATGCTGATGCTGCTGGAAACCAGACCCCACGTTGAATCCTAAGGGACTGACAGATATTCAGTCTTAGAAGGCTGGGGTGGAGGCATGGCTTGGAGCAGGCCCCAGGTGAAAAGGGGATGGAGCAGAATGAGGAGAAACAGGGCTGTGGAAAACTTAAGGATGAGAAAGACCAGGTTTGGCTCACTTAATTTTGGTTAAACGGTGCTTTCCAGGACAAAGAAGGGATATATAGATAGATTAAATTTTTCAATTTTATATTGCATATGTGTATTAAGGGCTTCCCTCGTGGTCCAGACGGTAAAGAATCTGCCTGCAATGCCGGAGACTGGGTTCAGTCCCTGGGTCAGGTAGATCCCCTGGAGAAGAAATGGCAACCCACTCCAGTATTCTTGCCTGGAGAATTCCATGGACAGAGGGGTCCAGCACGCTACAGTCCATGGGGTCGCTAAGAGATGGATACAGCTGAGCAACTAATAGGCATGTGTATTAAACTGATTATATAATACCATCTACAGTGGAATTGAGATCTATTTTGTTGGTTGGTCATTGTTTCATTTGTTTTGTTTTTTGTAGCATGCAGGATCTTATTTGCCCTACCAGGGATCGAACCCATGCCCCCTGCAGTGGAAATGCAGAGTCCTAACCACTAGACCACTGGGAGAGTCCCGGTTGTTCATTGTTGATGAGGTTTTTCATTATACTGTGCTTTCCAGACTGGGATACATTTAGCTCCCTGACATGACTGGAATGACATCCATTTGAAGATCTGGGAAGAAAACAGAGTTTTCTGTTTAATAAATGCATATATCATGGAGAAGAAGGTAACATGGATAAATTCTAACGAATAAGCAAGTGAAGGTTACTCAGTGGCTTCAGGCTGGGCTCTCACATCCTGTCCACCATTTTCCTTTTTTCTGCCAAAAGGAGGGCCGTTGAGTCGGACAGGGTGAAGAGCCCGCGCCTGAGGTAATCCCAGTGAAGCACAGAAGCAGGTGCTCTTCTCTTTCTGTTGTTGATTTTCTCATTTCCGTCTCCTCTTTCCTTAGTTCCTTGCCTGGTGTGGTTGTTTCTGGCTTCACTTCTGTCTCGTTGCTCTTGACTGCCCTTCCCTCTGTACAGATGTTAATGTGTTCGTCTGTGCTCCTTTCCTCCATCCTACGTGACAAGGATCCTGGGTCTTGGCCTTTGATGAGCCCATCCTAGCCACACCCTCCTGTCTCTCCGTC